GCCGCTGGTTACAGGTCTTCGGGGTGATATAAAGGTTTCAGGTGCTTTCGATGCCGCGGCACGGATCCTGGCGCACCCAAGGCCCTGGACGGAAAAGTCGGAATCGGAATTTGATTTGGGAACGTTTTGGGCTAATGGGTCTCTCTCTCTCTCTCTCTTCTCTCTTTCTCTCTCTCTCTCTCTTTCTCTTTCTCTCTCTTTCTCTTTCTCTCTCTCTCTCTCTCTCTCTCTCTCTCTCTCTCTCTCTCTTCTCTCTCTCTCTCTCTTTCTCTCCCTCCTGCATTTTACATCCTCTGGCTTCTGAGCTCTTGAAGTTGTACTGAGAGCAGATTCAGGTTGATCTGAGAGTTTGGGTATTGGTGTAGGTGGACCTGTATGTATAACATGTCTGTACGCTTCATTAACGTGAGTGCATATTGTCTCTGTCAGGTGTGTCCATGGCATAACGCCGGCTCTGCAACTTCCTTCTGGGGGAGTGGCCGTCCTACCTCACCCCACTGCCACATTGCTGGAGTGCCATAGCATCACTGTGGTTACTGCGTAATTCTCACAAGAAGCACCATTGTTACTGTAACCATGCCGGCCCTGTCTACGGGAACAGGCCCTGACACAGGTAACAGTTAAACTTCAGTTACTCTGCTTTAATGCTACTTAAATGCCAGTGCACACTGACACAAATATCCCAAAACTTTTGATTTTGTACCAGTGAGTGAGACTGTTGGCAATTCTGTAATGTTCCCAATTAACCCCATTCACAGCGTTCTGTTATGATGCCTGCTCCCCACCCAAGAATGTTCTGTCTCATTCACAGTATTCTAGAATGCCCCATTAACACTATTTACACTATTGTAGAATGTTGTTTCCCTTTCTTACTGCTCTACAATGTTCACATTATTCTAGAACATTATTTCCCATTCTCACTCTTTTAGAATGTTCCCCATTCCCTTTACTCTAGAATGTTGTTTGCCTTTCACACTGTTCTATAATGCCTCCCATTAACACTGTTCTAGACTGTTCACCCCTGTTCATATTATTCTAGAACATTTATTTTCCATTCTCACTTTTTTACAATGTTCCCCCCGTTTACACTATTCTACATTGTTTCCTATTCACACTGTTCTAAAATGCCCCATTAACACTGTTCTCTTGGAGCTTCAAATTCTCACATGCAAAACTGCAAATGCTAAAAGCTGAAGCTGAAAGTTGTGGAAAAGCAGAAAATAATTCACCTCTTGTAGAAGACGACCACATCTCATCTAACTTTAAACTGTCTGGGCTGTGATTTACACAGTGGCTAAAAGATTTCCCTTCATGTTCGAATCACCGAGACAATTTGCCACATAAAAATGATTGACCATAATGATTGACTGCAATTCTAATCAAGTGTTTTTTGTCCTTTTGTTCAGTGTCAGGTGGCTAAATTGTTTTAATAAAATAACCTCTTAATCTCCAGGCACAGCATGCTTAGCCCACTCATACAGAAGCAAGCATCAACTTTTTTATGCAAGTTTTATTGTATGAACGTTGTGCGTGTGCAAACTTCTCAGTCAGTTATTTTTGTTACACCCTGTTTACTTGTTGTTCCCCATTCACACTGTTGTGGAATGTATCCCATTCACACTTTTCTACAGTGCTGTTCCCTATTTACACAGTTCTAAAATGTTTATCCACATTCACACGGTTCTAGAATGTTCTGTCCTATTTATACTGGTTCATTGGTTTGTCTGTTCTAGACATGAGGTACTGTAAGTAAGTGACCTGTCAGTCTTTAGTGTAATAATAATAATAGCTACATTTAGATTTATGGCATTTGGCAAGTGCTCTTATCCAGAGCAATTTTCAGTTCTGATCATGTCACAGAAGTAGGTGAATATGGTGTTAATAATTATGCCTGTTGTTGGTATAGCGTGGTGGTCTTGCCTGGGCAGAAAACTGAACCCCAGCCTGCTGTGTGCTACAATATTCAATACAATATTTATATTTACCAGGTTTCCTGATAGTAAACCTTTGAATAATAACTATACTTTTACTATAACATACAGTTTTCCCCTCCTGGCCACTTTTTTATTGATATCATTTTCATACTGGGTCTGGCACTCCTTTGCTCTTTGATTGCATCAAATAATTGCAGATTTGTCAGCTGCACATTCATGCTGTGACTCTCCTGTTCTACCACATCCCAAAGGTGCACTTTTGGGTTCAGATCTGGTGACTGGGGAGGGCATTGAATTAGAGTTGTCTCATTGCCATGTTCATGGAACCCATTTGAGATTACCTGTACTTTTTGACAATCATTATTATGCTGGGAACCAGGAGCCCCGATGTGTGCCAAGAAAACATTCCCTATGCCATTACACCAGCTTGAATTGTTGACACAAGGCAGGCTGTGTCCGTTGATTCACGCTGTTTATACCAATTTCTGACCCTACCATCTGCATGTTATAGCAGAAATTGAGATGTATTTTCCAGTTTTCAGCTGTCCAGTTTCAGAGAGCCTGTGCCTACTGCAGCTTCAGGTTCCTGTTCTTGGCTGACAGAAGTGGATCCCAGTGTGTTTTTTTTGCTGTTGTAGCCCATCCACCACAGTGTTTAACATATAGAGATGTTTTTCTTACCATGTTGTTTAGAGTGGTTATTTGAGTTACTGTAGCCCAGAGCCATGTAGAGAGAGAGTAGCGTCAACGGAAGTTCAAAATGCTTGATGTCACATGATTCACGTACACTTCAGATAGTTCCAGAAAGTTCTTTGTGGGCAATTTAAACCCATAAAAACAGAGCGACAGAAATGCATCTTTTGGTACTTAGCAGTCAATAAATGCACTGATTTACAATATTTATATAGAAAACCAACGTGTATGTAGTTACAACAATATCATATATTTAAAAGTAAAAATCGCCACTATTTAAGGATTAAACAGCTATTGTTACTTACCTTGTTGACATGTTGGGTTAACGTCAACATGGTTTCAAAGTGTGTTGTTTATTGCTTTGAGTTTTTAATATTATAGATATTATGCTCTTAAACTTGTAGTTAAGATCAGTCATATCCTAATGTTTACTGATATACTTAGAGGGAGGGGAAGGGAAAGAATGTTTCAAAATTTGAAATCAGATTAATTTTCTAACATAAATACATCCTTAATTAATGGTTGTTTCAGTAATCCCAAGGCATAGATAATCTTAATGACTTGATGACTACTGTAAACTCTATGACTTTCCGAAAGGACAGAAGGAGAAGGAGCCAAATAAATTTGTTTGGCTTGCATATGCAAAAATCTGCTATTTAAAAGGGTACATTGAAAACGCATCACATCCTGACAGAACAGGACATAATAAACACATCTATTTATATTTGTTTGTACACATATAAACATATTTTATGTATCTTGCCTTTTTACTATGCACATATTTACTGCAATGGATTCATTAAATAAAGCTATAACGAACTCAAACATGAATAGCCTGGCAGGCAGTTTGTCTGTGCCCTTTTCTCCATGTTGTCCTTGCATATAGTCCCCAGCATGGTTTGCTCTGCTGCATGGAGATGCTTCAGTCGCTCGGAGAAAGGAGTGAAAATGTTTGGTTTCTCCACTGACACAGAGAGAAGAAAAAACTGCTGGCTCAAGTGAGCAGGAGCAATTACTAAATTACATACCGTCACTAAAGATTACAACAACAATGTGACACTGCATACTTTTCACAAACAAAAGCCACCACTGGGAAGCTTAATGTTTTGTTCATTAAAAATAAGGAACAGGTAAAGAATTGCAAAATTCAGCAGGGAGCTGAGAATCAGGGTGCAGGGTGGGGGTGCTGTCTTATTGTAGGGAGTCTTTAGGCTGAGTTGAATCCCCCTGTGGTTCTTGCCATTAATCCAAAATCAGCTAAACTGCAACATAATGTACAGATAATAGTCAACAGAATCACAAAGGCTGCAAACACTCAATCCACGAGTCTTATATTTGTTTACTCTTTAAAGTTGCCAATATGCACTATAAATCTTATCAGTAGTGACGTATCATGAAAATAGCTCTTTCTTTTTATTGTGTAACTTACATTAGCTCGTACTCCAAAATGGATAGCGATATTCTCATTTTATCTCCTCCACCTCCACTCTACAAGCTCATGCCCCAATGTTATATTTAACAAATATTTAACTCCTACCCACCTCGTGAAAAATCACGTTTAGAAGCCTTTTCGAAGATTCAACAACGGTGGATGAAACGACATTAAGAGCAGGGATTTTGCCATTACTAGGCTGTTTATGGTTCACATTATGGGTTCCTAACTTTACTCAGTACCCTAGCCTAATCTGTTATCTGTTAATGTTCCTTAAATCTACTAATTTAGTCGGGGATAATCCACTGACATACTTTAATATACATGTTAATTTAATTCAGATGTGCTTATTATATACAAACTGATTCATTAATAGTTTTACCCTTTAAAAGTGAATCACAACTGGTCTATTCTGCTGCAACTTGGCTGCGCTGCTAGTATTTGCTGCTAACTTCCGGGAACGATCGAGAGGCTCCACAATCCGCCATTGCTGAAAAAAAACAGTCCATTGGAGTGAATGGAGTTGACGCAACTCTCTCTCTACATGGCTCTGCTGTAGCCTTCCTGTCAGCTTGAAGTTTGGCCATTTTCTTCCAACCTCTCTTATCGACAACACGTTTCCATCCACAGACCTACTGCCTGCTGTGTGGTTCTTGTTTTACACACCATTCTTTAGAGCAGTGGTCACCAACCCTGGTTCTGCAGGACTAACTTCCTGCAGAGTCTAGTTCCAACCACAATCTGCTACACATGCTCCAAGTAATTAACTTTGTAAGTTCTTGATTGGTTGGATCAGATGCATTAGTGTTAGGTAAGGAAGAGGCAGCATGTTAGATGCAGATTGGAACTAAACTCTTCAGAAATGTAGATCTCCAGGTGGAAGGTTTGTTACCACTGCTTTAGAGACTGGTGTGTGTGTGTGTGTGTGAGCAGTTTCTGAGATACTCAAACCATTCTGAGTGCCACCAGCAGCCATGCCAGGGCTGAAGTTGCTTATTTGTTGTTGACGTTGTTGTTGACGTTGTTGTTGACGTTGTTGACGTTGTTGTTGTTGACGTTGTTGTTGTTGACGTTGTTGACGTTGTTGACATTGTTTTGAATGCTGATCATTTTTGCTCAGTTCTTATTTAAAGTAATAAATCTACTGAAGCTTTAATCACTGTATATGTGCTGGGTTATGGTGTACAGATAAGCTTAAATGGTTTAACAGAAGTGATTACATATAGTGTGCATCCTCACATTTATGTTCTAATGGATAAAGAGGCAGTGTGTGTGTGATGAGTGATGAGCGTGTATGTTTTTGAGATCAGTCTTCATAGCTATTGCAATTACGTACCGGTTGTGGGAATCCATACAGACAAAGTGAAAACACAGACCATCAATTACTATTATGGTCATTTCAACCAATTATTGGGCTGCTTCTTCTGTCCAAATAAAACATGTACGATCTGCTGCTTGTGCTTCGCTTTGAATACTACATTGCTTAGATACCAGTGCGATGAATGCTTCACTCACACAAACATATACGCATGAGTTTCTCACACATATGAGAAA